GGCTGCAGCTCCTCAGGCCTCGCTCTCCGTCCAGGGACGGCTGGGTGTGGCACTCGGCCGGGAAGCCGCGGGTCCCCCGAACCGCCAGCAAAGAGGAAGCTTGGAGAGGAGCCGGCACTGCTCCCCTCTGAGCCGGTTCACACAGCCTGTCCCTCCTCGCCAGCCCCGTGAGACCAGGTGAAGACGCGGCCCTCCCATGTCCCAGGGTTACCAGAGGGGCACCCGTGACCCCAAAGAGCTCACAGCTCTGAGCAGTCGCCTCGCTCAGTGATTTGTTGCCATGGTAATGAAGTTTATAAAATTTATGCCTGTTTTCTGAAAAGCTTAAATAGTTATAGAGTTTATTAAGCCCAAAGGGGGATTTTGGGGTTTCCTCCTTCTTCGTCTGTGCACAAACGCCAACATGAACCCACTGTCGGTGCCTTGTTCAGAAGTGAGGGCGTCTGCTTCATCACGAGTGACACAGGAGCCCTGATGACCTGCTGATTCACTCCCAGGGGCTGACACAGAGGAAGGAAACAGCAAGACCAGTGCTGGCCCAGACGGCAGAAACTCGGTACGTGGAAACCCGGTACGTGGAAACCCGGAACGTGGAAACCCGGTACGTGGAAACCCGGTACGTGGAAACCCGGTACGTGGCCCGCCACAGCGAGCCAGTCAACAAGCAGCCACTTCGAAACCGAAGTCCACGGCTTTCGTAGAAGCGCCCAGAAACGCCGACCGACACCTGAGCGGTGCCACGTGTCACGTGTGTGCGTGCTGTGGACAGTGCACTTCATATGCGGTCGCTGAATCCTGATCGCAACTCTCATCATGTCTCCCAGAGGAAGACACGTGGGGTTGACGGGGACGCTGTGACCGAGGCAGGGAGAACGCTCCTGGTCGCACCCTCACCGCCGCACGCCAAAGCTCTCTGACAGAACCTCATTCTAGAAACCATGGGCGACGAGACAAACTCGCTAGACTACAGGCAGGCAGGGCCTCGCCTGGCGAAGGCCCCAGGCACTGGGTGAAATCGGCATATGACGCCAGCAAAGCGCGGGTAAGAAACACAGTTCACCGTTCCAATGTTGCCTGGGTTTTTTAGGGGGTTTGTGCTTCAAATACGAGACCAAGGGTGAGTTTGGCAGTGGCGTCCCCACAAGCTTTTCAGTGCTTAGGGCTTCCTAGAGGACAGAGGACATTGGCATCTGACTCTCTGAGATATTTCAGTGGCTGGCCCCACACCTGAATTTCTCATTTGCTGTGAGCAGCGCATGAGACCCTGAGACCCTCCTCTATCTCGTTCTAGAATTTCTCTCTCCTGAGAGACGCCTGGGGGTGAAGTGCTCATTTACCCCACGCGGCATGCATACGACACTGAGCAACGCCCACTTACTTTGAGCGTGGGAATTCGAAAGATTTCTCCTAAATGGCGAAGACCACTCTGACTCAGGTCCAGAATCGGGGAGGCAGAAGAGAGGACCCCGTTAATCCTCCCGCGGATGTCCTCGGCCGGGGAGGCCGTGGCCGTGCTCCTGGCCGGGCCCGAGCCGCCCCCCTCGCCGGCAGCCCCCGGGGCGTCTCCCTCCATCTGTCAGCCAGGAGGAAGCAACCCTGCGAAGCCAGCGCTCATCCTCCGTGGTCTGGAGTCACCTAGAGATGGGGAGGGGACAGGGCGACAAGTAGAAACAGTGACATGTTCGCAGTGGGATGGGCCAGCTACAGTGCAGATGTGCAACGACCTCGCCTGCTTACAAAACCCTCGTTTTTAATAAACGGTATAAATTTGACTTTTAAATTTGTAAAAACAACAACGAAAATCCCGAGGGTACACGAAAGTGCAGATTCAAACGTTCTGCTCCTCGCTCTGTAGCACGGAGATCCGAGATCTCACTTCCAACTCCCAGAAAACGCAGAATGGGAACGGCTGTTTCAGGGGCGAAAGCAGAGCAGAACCGTCCAAAGCCGGCAAAGCAAGGCGCTCCTTCCACAAAATGGGACGGGGCGCCCCCAAATTTGCGCTATTCCTCGCTTCCGCTGTGGTCGCGCCACTTCCGCTGCACCTGAGCTCCCTGCCACCAGGATCCTGCCAGTTTCTCCGTTCTGGCTCAGTGGGCAGCCCCGGGTCTGGGGAGCCCTAAGTTAGGCGCTGGGAAAACTGTCAAAACAGAGCCCTGACTTTTAGTCGTTCAGCAACGCTTTGGCTCAACACAAAGTCCAGGAGCTGCTGCTCATCAAAACGCCACTGGCTGAGGGAATCCCCACGCGTGGTCCCAGCAACGCACGCAGCAGCGACGGCCCCCCGGGGTAGGTTTACAGCTCACGGGCGTTACCACGACCCACGCCGCGGCCCGGGACCGGTGCGTGTGAGCGTCCAGACCCTGCCTTCCCGTTTCAGGGGTGAGCAGTGTGAGGTCTGGGTTGGCTCAGGAACTGCCCAAAGGTCAAGCGACTAACAGTGGGGACGAACCCACAGTGCGACCCCAGGCGGCCTGCGCTCGGAGGGCCCTTCGCGGGCGGGTCCTTCCCTGCGAGTCAGGGACCGACGGAGGACGGAGGTGCCGCAGCGTCCCGCAAACCCGCGAACAGGAACCGAAACGGCAGGGCCGAAGAGGGGCGGGGCGGGCTCCGAGGCTGCTGCAGGCGCCCCGCGCGCCCTGCCTCGGTTTCCCCATCCGGGCCGGAGCAACCGGACAGGGCACCGCCTTCTCCCGCTGCCCGCCCGCCCGC